TGTTACTAGGCTATTGTTTGGGTTTTAGAAGACTTCGGGGAATTTTTTTGTTTTGTTTAGGGTTTAAAGATCCTCTCGGTGGTAATTTCAAGGGTTCTTTGAGCCTTACAGCTCTAGGAAGTCAACAGTGCCTGGGAATTTTGGATTCTGTTCTTTTTCCACCCCTTTTGATCATAATTCTATAGAGCGTTGATCAAAGTGTTTAGTGCTGGTGGCTGGGCACCCTCCCGCTCTTCTTGTCTCATAGCACAGGGGGCAGTTGCTCATGGAGGCAATTAGCCACGAGATTCATATCTTCCTCCCATTCCTGTCTGCCCTTCTTCCTCTGTTGTTCTAGGGCGGGGTGTCAAACTGGCGGCCCACGGGCTGCATGCGGCCCCTGAGGTAATTTTTTGTGGCCCACAATGCTCTGAAATAAAATGTAATGAGGGAATTGTGTGTACGGTATTGCCTCAATCTCCCCTAAGAGCTATTTTCTGCATAACAATTTTTTCTACTTTCATTTTATTTCAGAGCATGTGGGCCACAAAAAATTACCTTGGGGGCCGCATCCGGCCCACGGCCACTAGTTTGACACTCCTTGTATTAGTCTAGGTACTTTGGAGAAACAAATCCACAGCAACTCATGTATAAGAGAGTTTTATGTAAAGAAAAGGTGCATCACGAAAACATCCCAACCCAATGCTGCCCAAGCCCACAAGTCCAACATTAACCCATTAACCCAACACCAGTCCACAAAGTCCTCCACCTCACAAAACAGAGGCAATGATGCCGACTGCAGGAGGAAAGCTGAGTCAGTAAACGAATAAGCATCTCAGCACTAGCAGGGGTCTCCACACGGTTGCTCCAGCACCCAGGGCTGCATTGGGATAGATCCATGCGGCTTCTCCTTGGGGATGTCTTGTAGGAAGTCAATCTTGCAAGCTGAAGCAGGGAACTGCTAAGGCAGCTGCACCCCGTGCAACCATCACAAAACAAGAGACCCGAGAACTAGAAAGGCGAGGCTCACCACCCATTTATCCCTCCGCCTTTCAATTAGCCCCACATGTGATTATTAGCCAGGCTGGCACAATTAACTAACTCACTCCTGTTCTAGGGAAAAGAGACCAATTGTGTCTTGGATGGGCCACTGCCCTCTGTAAGCCCTCAGGCACTCTACAAAGAGCTGGGAGGTAAAACGGAAGCACTAAATGCATTATTAGACCAATTAACTGCACCTGAATGCCCCATGAAACCATAACCCTGAATCTTCAAACCAAGAAAGTAAATCCCACGAGGTTTTGGTTTACGTAAGCAGCCTTAGCAACTAGTTTGTTAGTTTTTTTCTTTTTCAAAAAAAAATATATCGATTACAACTCATTTTCTTTTTTTTATATTGAGAATAAACCAAGCCTGTTTAAAAAAGCAAAATAGAACACCTAAACTCTGTTGCCATCGACATGAGTCTGACTCAGAAGCGGCTTGTAGACAGAGAAGTGCCCGGTTGGTTTCCAAGGGCGTGAGCCTTTCGAGAAGCAGACTGCCACGCCTCTTTCCTGCCCAGAAGCTGGTGGGTCGTAACCACTAATCGCTGTAACCAGTGTGCCACCAAAGCTCCTGAAAACGTAACTGCTTTCTGCCATCAGTCACTCCAAGTCAACCCTATAGAACAGGGCATAGCTTGAGTTCCCGAGGTTGTGGCTCTTTCTGGGAGTAGAAAGCTTCCTCTTTCTCCTGTGAAGCTGCTGGTGGTTTTGAAGTGCTGACTCTGTTGGTTAGCTGCCCAACGTGTAACCATGACGCCAGCAGGGCTCCTTAAAATATAAAACCTATTGCAAAGAATTATTAAAAAAACCAAACTGCTTGCTCTTGAGTTGTTGTGGCTTGTGGTGACCCCATGTGTCTCAGAGTAGAACTGTGCTCCTGAAGAGTTTTCAGTGACAATTTTGGGGGGAAGATCTGTCTTCCAACATGCCTTTGGGTGAATCCAACCTCCAACCTTTTGGTGGGCAGCCAAATGTGTTAACCATTTATACCACCGGGGACTTCTGCATAAAGACATACAATATTGTTAAAGCAAGTGACCACTCCCCTCACCCCCTCATCATGTTAAAGTCACTTTGCTGGAGAGAGCTGGGGAGGCGGGGGCTTACTTTGCTGCAGGGACACCTACTGCCGATTCATGGATGGAAGAGTATTTATGCTCTGGTAACAGTGACATGATTTTATGAATCATAAGCCTCCGGTATGACAGTCTTTCCTCACTCGATGTCATGCATCTGTGTGAAACCAGAATGTAGGATGTCTCTTTATAGAGACGTCTATGCGGTACACTTAGTACCAACCTTAATTTGGAGCCATGATATTGGCTAGAGCTCTAAAGCCAAGTTTAGGGCCTTGTTTTTTTTATTCTCATTGCACACAGCACTGCCTTTATTGAACTACAGATTAAAGTTACTCCTGGCTCTAGGAGAGGTAAAGGCAAGATCTGTTTGTTATGATGGTATTACGTCACTTACAACTGTGTGTTCATTGATTACACATCACATCGGCTCAGGGCACCAGGGGGGAAGGCCTGGCAATCCATGTCCTGAAAGATGACAGCTGAAAACGTCGTGTGGTGTAGTTCTGCTCTCTAACGCATGGGGTCACTATGAGTTGGAATCAACCCAAGAGCAACAAGGGTTTAGTTGGGGGGGAGGATATAGTTGTGAATACATTTGGAGATTCTCCCCCTACCCCCCCCCCCGCTGCACCCCCCTTATTTTGCTACCCAAATGACCCTCTACAGACGACATAAATGTTTCTTGTGGTAAATTCTTTAGTAAGTTCCAGGAAAATTTCTATCTCTGAAGATATTTTGTCTTACTTTTCTTTGTCAGAAATGGAAAGTTTGCAACCATGTGTTTTCTTTCCTGCCTTGACTGCCAGATGATTTAGAGCCACATGTTAGCAATAACCTTATCTCTGCAGCTTGGCAGCAGCTCCTCTTTCTGTTGCCCTTGGTTGGTCTCTGTTCTGCTGTATCCCTGGTTGACCTGCCCTACATTCTTAACTGTATGCTACTGCAGACTGCCTTGGGGGAAAGACTGGCCATTTGTTTTCTTAAGTGTTGAATTTGGACATGGAGTACATGCTTGACATATCCTAGCTCTGGTGAGAAAGGAATGTGATGTGGAGGACAAGCGGGGCAGGGCAATGTGTGCAGGAAGTAGAAGACGGCAATGGAAGAGATCTAAGGATTGGGATTAATGATTTCTGAAGATGCTTTGAAGCACTCACCATTTGTCAGCATCTCACAGGCCGACCACATGGACTTGCAGAAACAGCCAATGCTGGAACTGTAGCTCTGCTCAATGGACTCATGATCGACCGACAGGTCCCCTGTGAGTCTGTTACTCTGGGGTAGGCGTCCTCAAACTATGGCCTGCTCGAGGAAATTTATCTGGCCCGCCAGGTGTTTTTGCCCCATTTGTTTTTTCTTTCAAAATAAGATATGTGCAGTGTGCATAGGAATTTGTTCATAGTTGTTTGTTTTTTTAAACTATAGTCCGGCCCTCCAATGGGTCTGAGGGACAGTGAACTGGCCCCCTGTTTAAAAAGTTTGAGGACCCCTACTCTGGGGGGGAGGTGACATTGAGTTGTGTGTGGTTTCTGCAGTGCTATTCCTCAGCCCAGCTTTTTTCTCACCATTTCTCATGAGTTACAAGGTGCTTTAATCAGCAGAGAGCCCTTTGCATGGCATATGGAGGCAGCTTGCCACGATGGTCTCATTGGCCACCTCTGAGGAGCTGGCATGGACTGGTATCTACTATGCATCTCTTTGCAACCCGAGGAGCTTAGTTGTCATACCTGCTCAGCGCACTTCCAGGGCAAATGCCAACGATGGACAGGAGAAGGCAGACCACCCTTCTCCTCCCTATTGTTGGACTCACAGTTTACCATTGGTTGACTCATGTGATCACATGCAAGCTTTCCAGATCATCGAGTTGCTCAAAAGACAGGTGGTTTTCTAAAAAATGTGATTTACAAAGAAATAGAAAGTTATAAAGAGCTTTCCTGCTTAAAGAATAGGCCTCTGCTATTTTCCTATCTTTATTGTGTCAGTTATCTTCCCCGGCTGCAACAAGTTCCAATATTTTGCCTTTGGAAAAGAGTAGCTCTTGCTTTGTGAATTTCAGTAGGGAAACAGCCTTTCACGCAGTCACAGAGGGGAGATGCTTGGCTCCAACACCCGTCTGTGTTCTGTTTTTGATGACCATGGGTGTATATATTTGTCTACTAAGATTCACACACTTTATTAATTTGATTGCTTAAACATAAAAGCAAATAATCATCTAAAGCATTGTATTTATTTGACATCAGAGGCAAGAAATTCCCCATTCTCTGAAAATCATTTCATCTTTGGCAAAGTGCCAGTGAAAGCTTATAGATAATGATATTATGTGATCACTGAGCTCTCATTAGGTACCTTTGTTTTGAAGGCTGTATTTGTTAAGAGAGTGCATAAATAAATGTGCATGTTCCAAGCTATGAGTTTCTCATCTACTCTAGGAATAAAATGCACAGAGGGTAAAAACAAAAAAACACTGGTTAGTAAAAATAAACCTCAATACCAATTTTGATGAAAATACATAATTAAAATATTACGAAACCAATTGGTCATCATTTTACTGCTGATGTTCATATAAGAAAAATTAGCATTCTGTGAATTTGAAAGAGATTCTGTGCATTCAGAGATTTCTTTAAGGGATTTGTGTTAGATACACTTGGGGTCGCCATGAATTAGAATCAACTTGACAGCAACCAGTTAATTTATGCATCCAGAATTTGCTTGATTAAGGGCCACAAAGGATTCTGGAGTGGACTAGGGAATTGGTGGATTAAGCAGTGAGATCTATGTTGTTAGCCCCGATTAATAGCATGTCAGAGAAAGAAAACAGACACTGAATGAATAAGCTACGTCAAAAGCCTCCGCTCCTCCTTCTAATTAAGATGCCTTGTGCATTACTGTCGTTTAGACTGGGAGGCACGCATCGACAGCCACGGGAGGGTCTTCTATGTGGACCACGTGAACAGAACCACGACGTGGCAGCGGCCCACAGCTCCCCCAGCCCCACAGATGCTTCAGAGATCCAGCTCCATCCAGCAAATGGAGCAGCTGAACCGGCGGTGAGGATGGGCCCCTTCCTGTTGCTGCTCTGTTTTAGGGTTGGGCCAGTTTTCCGTGGCACAAAGTTGAGAAGCTGGTTGTGTCTGGTGCCCTGGTGTTCTGTTGTAGCTGTTACCCTTTTTTACCCTTTTTCGATTCATAGCTTTCATTGAACTTCTCTTGGACAGAAAACAACACACAAACATATAGACACCTTGTTTGGAAACTGGAGCCCATGGGGTTGCTAACTTGAAGGGTAGCAATTCAAATCCACCAGCTGCCCCATGGGAGAAAGAGGAAGTCTTCTGCTCCCATAAACATTTAGTCTTGGAAACCCATGGGGGAAGATTTTACTCTTTCCTGCAGGGTCACGGAAAGTCAGAATCGACTCAGTGGCAGGAGTTTTTGTTGTTTGGTTCATTTTTGCCCTTTTTGGGGGGTGGGGGGACAGCACAAGTACTGATATCCCCTGTAGTCAAGCCAAGGCATTGTTTTTTTGGAAGAACAGAACATACACATTCATTATTTGAATCCAAGTAGCTTTTAGCATCTCTAGAATCTTCCATTTGTGGCACATCTTAAAAACCTAAGTTTTTTAACTCTGCTTTTTCCTTTCAAGAACTAATTGCTATGGAGCATAATAACATTGGGGTTTTGTTTTCTTCTGTTCAAGCTAGCAATGTTTGTATTGGGCTTAAAGAAAATGTTCCATCAACAATGGCAAAAAGAAATGTAAAGCAATGCTTTTTTTTCCAGACCACTGATGACCCAGATGTGAAGGAGTGGGGTGTTGTGGGGTGGATACAATTGAATTGAAAAGACAGGGAACACTTCTGGGTTCGGAGGGATTGTGTTCCACGTTTTAGAGTGTCTGGAATGTAACTCTAGGGTCATGATTGTAGATATCAGAGCATCCGCAGAACCATGACGAACGAGCCGCCTGAGGAAAATGCCAGTGCTCTCGATGGGGCAGGGGAAGAGGCCGACTTTCAACAAGCCAGCGCAGGTGAGAGCCTTTGGGTTAGTTTGCATGTTTATTTTTTCAATCTCATGTGAGTGGAAGGAAAGTCAGGATTTCCAGGAAATGAAGGCTTTTCTTTGGCAGAACTATAGGTCTTTAGTGAGAACTGGTGAGCCAACTGCAAATGTAGAATTCACCAGAGACCTTGTCTCATCCTTGACCTTTTCATTACTAGTAAGAAAAGAGTCACAAAACCAAATAGAATATAACTGATTTTAATCTCAGGGTATGAAACAGTGGAAAAAGAACTTAATCCATTAAAAATTATATGAATTAAAATGTTAACAGTGACTAAAAGAATTATTCAGCCCCATAATAACATAATTAAAGAGCCCCCGTGGCTTTCATTGGGCTGTTGACTGCAAGGTTGGAGGCTCAAACCCTCCAGCTGCTCTTTAGGACAAACATCTACTCCTGTAAAGACGGGTAGTGTCAGAAACGCTCACAAGCAATTCTCCTTTGTTCTGTAGGGTTGATAGGAGTCATGCTTGACGTGCTGTCAGTGGGTTTGGATTTGGTTTAGGTTAGTGGCTCAACGTAGGGAGCCCTGGTGATGCAGTGGTACGGTGGTCTGCCACTGGGCTGCTAACTGAGAGACTGATGGCTCAAGTCCACTAGCCATGCCACGGGAGAAAGATGCGGCAGTTTGCTGCTGTTCAGGTTGCACCCTTGAGAACCCTATGAGGGACTTCGACTCTGTCGCGGGGGCAGGGGGTGGCGGGGGATGGGGATGGGGGTGGTGCTGGTGCACTGTGAGCTGAATGAAATCAACTCAATGGCACATAACAACAAAAGCAGTCAGGTTGTTATGTCTCGTTGACCCTGGAGGAAAAGCAACAACAATGTTTTGAAGTTTTAAGCATAGTAGATGGCATAAATAGTTCTTTGGCTCTGTTTTCATTATTCCAGAGTGACTAGAGATACCAGTGTGGAAAGACTCCTCTGAGTGCCCTGTGCTCTGTCCCCCCATCTAGATTTCCGACGGGAGAACGTCCTGCCCCACTCTCCCTCCAGATCCAGGCTCACGTTGCTGTTACAGTCTCCCCCGGTGAAGTTTCTCATCAGCCCCGAGTTCTTCACCGTGCTGCATTCTAACCCTGTGAGTACTCAGTCGGAAAGAATGTGGTGGGAAAAGAAGTCAAAGGAACTGAATAGGAAGGCTGATAGCTAGCACTCATTGAGCACTGAGCACTTATTAAGGAGCTCCGGTGGGGCGTGGGGGGGTGGTTACACATTTGACTGCTAACCACAAGGTCGGCCGTTTGAAGCCACCAGCTGCGCCTCAGGAGAAAGGTGAGGCTTTTTAAGCTCCCGGAAGGAGTGAAAGCCGCGGAAACCCACAGAGGCAGTTCTACCCTGCCCTGCAGGGTCACGAAGAGTCAGCGTTGACTCCGTGGCGGCGAGTTAGGTTTTCAGTCTTAAGTTTCTGTTAAGTATCGTATGTGTACTAACATGTTTGTTAACACAAACCTATGAGATCATCTAAAGCTCGCATTTTTCTACCTGAAGAAGCTAAGGCACAGAGAAGGTAAGTAATGTTCCTAAAATGCTATAGCTATGTGGTAGGGTTGGGAATAAAATCCCAGGGACATGGACCCCAGAGTAAATGCTCTTAATGACAATAGGCAATATAAATGCAAATACAAAGTATGAGCATTGGCAGCAGGCAGTAGCCCGATTGGACTTTGAGGTTATGGTCTCCATTATCTAAAAGAAACATCCAAACCAAACCAAACCTGCTGCTGTTGGGCTACTTCCAGCTCACGATGACCCCCGGTTACAGAGGAGAAGGGAGCTCCACGGGGTATGTTGGGTTATAACCTGTGGATGCAATCCCCAGGCCTGCCGTTTGTCATGCCACTGGTGGCTCTGAATCACTCACCTTTTGATTGGTGGCCAAGAATAAACCATTTGCGCCACCCAGGGACTCCGGAGAGAAAGAATATAAAATGTGTACATTGAGGCTATCTGGAGAATACAACAACAATTTGGGGGAGATAGAAACTATGAGGCTTGTGTGGGAAATCAGTGTTAAAACATTTGTTTAACGATGTCACGGTGAAATCTTTGTGGTGAAATAGATGTACATGTTTCCCCTTCCGGATGCCCTCCTTTCACTAACGTGACTGCTCGAGACCTTAAAATGTTAACATCAGCTAAAATAAAAATCTTTTTTAGTAGCCAGATTTTATGGGCAATTTTACCATTTATTCATTGTTCCAAAAAGAGAACACATTTTAAAAATAGAGTCACTATTAGTCAGAAGTGACTTAGTGGTAGTTAGTTTGTAAAAATAACACTAATAAATGAGTTGAGAGGGATGGTTTTGACCATCTCCCATACCCACTTCATTTCCTGCAGCCCTGACTGTTAACCCAGGTTCTATCGCTTTCCCTATCTTGCTACAGTCAGTACTCATGGAATCTAGGTTCCCTCTCCCTTCCCACACTTATTTTGGAATTACAACCTGTAGTTGGTTTTTTGTTTTTTTTTTTGCTTTTAAAAAATATTATCAGAATGTATTAACCTCCTGTAGGTACTTAGGTATAAGACATCCATTGGATGCCAGTGAAAAATGCTCAACATTAGTTTTCTGATCATACAGCACAATATTTGTATAAAATATTTCTTGGAAAATAAAAAATAGAATAGTGTGGGAGAGGAGGTGGCGACCAGGGAAAGAGGGACCAGACTTCAACCCGATGCTCCAAGACATGAATGCAGCACACTGGCATGAAGCAGGGAAGCAATAGAGAGGCCTGAGGGGCCGGCCCCCAACCCCAACTCCATGGACAGCCCCCCCTTCCCCCCCCAGAAGAATTCACTTCAGAGGACAGCACTGAAGCTACAGCTCAGGGAGAGGGTCACGTCTGATCAGAGCACACGGGACCAAATGAAGGGGGAGGGGGAGAGTGGAGCACATCCTGGCCACCAAGGCCTGAGGACGAGATTCCCACTCAGAGAAGCCAATGCACAGAGAGGACCAGGCCCCACCACGAAACACCACGTCCCTCACTGATCCATAGCGCTACCAGGGACAACACTGGAGACACGGTGCGGGAATTGTGCCCGACCTGACCCCACCACACCGAGGCAAAACACTAAGGGCGTGCAATAGAACAGCAAGAAGGAATAATGAAGCAATGAAGTCCCCAGGGAACACCAAAAATAGACTATGGGGCCAGGGCCTGGCACCCTATCAGACTCGACTGGAAAACACTTGTAAATGTCAACAAACAGACCTTGAACTATTTACAGGCTTTTTTGTTGTTGATGTTGGTTTTTGTTATTGTTGTTGTTATTGTATTTTCTTTTGTGGCTTTGTTTGCTCTGTCTTGTTTTTGTGCATACTATTATCTATGTATGTCTATCTAGATAAGTTAGGGGGGATAAACAATCCGGAGGAGAAAACAATAAGACTGACATTTCTGGGGGGGAATAGATCTATGTACATATATTTATAGGTTTAGTGTTAAGGAAGCAGATGGAAATTGGGCCTCTACTCAAATACTCCCTCAACACAAGAACACTTTGTTCTAATAATCCAGCATTCTGAGATGTTCACCTTCCCCACACGATCACTGAAGACAAATGGGTGCATAAGCAAATGTGGCGAATAAAGCTGATGGTGCCCGACTATCATAAGATAGAGTGTCTGGGTTCTTAAAGGCTTGAAGATAAACAAGCAGCCATCTAGCTGAGAAGCAACAAAGCCCACATGGAAGAAGCACACCAGTCTGTGTGATCATGAGGTGTCAATGGGATCAAGTATTAGGTATCAAAGACCCAGAACAAAAATTCATGGCATTGTAAATGGGAGGGCGGGGGGCAATGCGGAGTAGAGACCCAAATCCAGTCTGTAGGCAATTGGACACCCCCTTACAGACGGGTGGCTGGGAGGAGACGGGCTAGCCAAGGTGCAGTATAGCACCGATGAAACATACATCTCTCCTATAGTTCTTTAATGCTTCCTCCCCCCCACTATCATGACCCCAATTCTACCTTACAAATCTGGGTAGACCAGAGCATGTACACAGGTACAGATAAAAGCTGGAAACACAGAGAATCCAGGACAGATAAACCCCTGGGACCAATAATGAGAGTAGCCATGTAGGAGGGGAATGGGAAGGTAGGGCATAGAAAGGGGTACTGATCACAATGATGTGCCTATAACCCCCTCCCAGGGGGATGGACAACAGAAAAGTGGGTAAAGGGAGACATTGGTTAGTGTACGACATGAAAAAATAATAATAGTTTATAAATTATCAAGGGTTCATGAGGGAGGGAGGGTGAGGGAGGAGAAAAAATGAGAAGCTGATACCAAAGGCTCAAGTAGAAAAAAAAATGTTTTGAGAATGACTATGGCAACAAATGTACAAATGTGCTTGACACAATGGATGTGATAAGAATTGTACGAGCCCCTAATAAAATGATTTATTGCAAAATAAGGAGAATAGTTTATGGGATGCAGCCCACATCCAGATGGGTCCTAAGGGATGATATGTAATTGCAGGGAAGAAATTAAGAGGCAGACAAAAGTGTTGGGGTGCTTATGTCCTTCATGATGCCAGGACCAAGTGGGAAAGAAAGTATTCTTACACCAACTTACATAATCTAGGGGCACGCAGGCCCCCCTATGTAACAAACCACTTACGTAACAAAGTGGGCAGTTTCTTAACCCCAGAGGCCCCTGAGTGCATTGGGTAGTAACCTAACGCCATGTTGGGTGCAGTTAAGGGGGACTGGCTGTCCTCTGAGCAGGGGAGCAATTGCAGTTCGTCTGCTTCTGTTGATACGGCTGCCGGTCAGGTAGCAATCAGCCACGTCCTTGTTGGAGGTCACTTTAACGGAGCACTATTATGGGAGCATGTTGTGGACGGGAGTCTTCACTAGGAGAATGTGACTTGGACACTTTTCCAACTCACAAATGTGAAGGCCTCCCCCCACCCAGAATCCTGGCCTTCCAGGTTTCTTTAATCTGAGGCTAGAAAATTTGTCCGCATGCACTTCCTTCCCAGGTCCTGGTTCCCACAATAGCTTGAAAAATGTTACAAATATTAGACACAAACAGTTGTGAAGAATAAAATCAGGGGATGATAGGAAGAATTCACTAGAAGTTGTTCTGTGTGGTATGAGATTTATCGTGAAGTAAATAGTAGCCATTAGTCGTCAGAGTTTCAGTAAGAATTCTGTCCTTCAAATTGGAGACATGTATGTGCAAAGATGGGACTATGTGTCCTATATGAGAGGGCTTCAGAAGGTGTGTGGAAAATGAAACTGGAAGATAAAAACAAAAAATATAAACTTTATTTCTCAAGCTTCATTAAGTTCATGACCATTATGATGTCATTACAATTCTTTAAGTTCCAGCTATAAATGATGACATTAGTAATTTAGTCTACCTCTAGAGAAATGAAAGTCCTGTGAATGTAACCATGTTAATGCAGTCTCTTTTTTTTATATAACATGATTGAGAAGAATGGATGCCCTTTAGAGGTCTTTTAAGACCAGGACATGGTCATAGCATGGGTCCTACTTGCTGTGTATGGGGTGTGGTGCCAGAGAAGCGCCCGCAGCCTGAGCACTGTGTAGTCGGCGCGCCCAGGTGGGGAGTTTGGGGTGACCCTGGTGCACACAGCAGGCTGGCTGGGGTGCAATCACCCCTCCCCCACCGTGTGCCATACCCCTCTTGCGCGGTGCCTTCTCCCCGAGACTCCTTGCACCTCTTCAGCTCAAAGCAAGGGCCAACCTGACTTAAGCTCTCCTGAGATGACCAAGCAGTGGGACTATGGCCTGGAGACCATTGAGAACAAAGTAGAGTCCACCCTCACCTACTTTACCTAGTACCTCTCAGCCTGCCAAGGTTTCAGGAAGGCACTGTGCCTGGCCATGCAGGTGGAAGAGCAGGCGAGCAAACAAATCAGCAAGAAATAGCCCCAGCGATGACTGCAAATAAATTTGAAAGTAATGGAAGATTCCCACAAACTTTTTGAAGAAGCCTCCTTGTATATCTATCACACAACTTTTGCCTGTTCAGTTATTTCCAGGTTTAAGCCTTTCTGACAGCAATGACAAGAATCTGTTTGCAAGTGTACCATT